TTTTCGCGAACGCAAACACCGTTGGGGCAGGTAAAACGCGCTGGGTTACGGCAGTTGTTTATTCTTTCGAGACACCATGCGATAGGATACGGTGGTGGCAACTCCTGCCTTATCGTCCATAAGATTAAAATGAAGTTCGAGTTTATTAAAGAGAGAAGAGCGCAAGACCAAGAATAACGACAATCTTTTTTAATGTAATATTGACCGTGATGTAATATTGAAGAACAATTTAGGAAGTTTTATTGACTCCTCAGAAGCTTTTTTCAGTAAAAACATTATTTATATTGATATAAGTAACAATTTTATAGAGAATTAATACACAACAATTTAGTATTTAAAAATAGATATTTAAAGATAAAGAAAAATAATGCATGGATAAAATTAGATCTATTCTTTTCGCGTATAGTTTACAGAATAAAATAATTCTCTTTGTAGGAAACAAAATTCAAGATAGGTTGATGAAAACATTATATACATTTTTCTTGTTTTGCATAATGATTTTAAATCATCTTATAAAACTACTTTCAAAATCTCGTAAATTATTCCATTTATACTCGTATGTATAAAAAGAAATAATCAGTTGAATTTTGAAATTTATTTAAGAGTTAATGTCACTTCGGCGATAAAATATAAAAATAAACAGCATTTCAGTTATTTATTTGTGCAGTAGCAGTGATTCGTTAAATTTGCAGTATTTACGGTAGAACTCGTGATTTTTTTTTCTCCTCGATTTTATATCTCTGCAAAATAATTAAGAGTCGAAAGCGACGGGACGAGAATTCAGATAAATCAGTTTTATCTTCCCTCCAGCCACCCACGTGGTCCGAGCATTTAAATTACTCTTATAACAACGCCCGGTGCGTTCGAAATTCAATTATCTCAGTTTCGATCATTTCAAGGGCTTCGTGTAAAAATTTCCTTATATTCATCTACATGTCCGTACCTATATAGAATATCCTATAAAGCAGTTGCTCATGTTTAAAACGAAAATTTATGTAATTCATGAATAATTTCTATTATGTCATACATCATTGTATTAAAAAATATTACAATGTTAATTACGACATATTCAGATAGTCAATTTTTATGAATCACATTTTTATAAGTTATCCTCATAATTTATTTTATACCGATAAATTAATTTAGAATAAGGTGCATATTTATTTTTTAATAAAATTATAATATTATTTAATATCATTAACTTACCCTTGGCTCGACGCCATCATAGCCTAAATTATCTATTCCTGTCATGTTGCAATCTGTAAAATAATTTTTTTACATTAATTATTTAATTTATATATTAATAAAATTTATTAATATATAAATTGATGTAAATAATTGTATTATTTGTCATGTTATTTATTACTTATTATATTATCAGTAAAATAATTATATTATTTAATAACGATTCAGCAAATAGTGTTATACCACGCATTTCTCAAAATACCCGTGGCTAAAAACACAGTAAAATAGCAATGCTATAAATCTGTAAGATATATTTTTGAAATTAAAATAGTAATATATGTTTATTTTATTATAATTTATGTATTTTACTATAATTTACTGTTTAATATTAATTAAAGTGTAAATATTACTCGGATATGTTAATTATATCGTGTTGCTAAAAAATAAAATGATCAAAAAATATATCGTTAATGCGCGAAAATATCCTTATTCATATGTCAAGGGAGTGGATGTTTTTGAATGTCACTGTAGCATCTTAGTAGGATGATCGTTGATAGGTGCAAATAATGCGTGATGATGTTCACAACAATCGAAGTAACAGGATAATGGACATCACGTTAAATTATTATGCACCCTGCGCGGAATGTGTCCAGACTTAATAATCTTTGTGTGACTCGAATGCAATATTCGTATGTAATAGGTCAGCTGGTGGGAAAACTTTCGGTTCTATTAAATATGTTTTCTCGAAAATTTAACAATATGCACTCGCAAGTGAAGCGGTCGCATATTCATAAGCAATGTATAACTAATTGCTGAATTTTTATGATTGGATAGATAAGATAGCAAAAATGGTCACTCTTTTAACTTTAAACGTCTACAATTATTTTGTCGTGATCGGTATGAATTATTTAAAATGCAAAATAATAAGGAAAATGCATATACATATGTACGATCGATTAATTGTAGATACCGCAAATCAAACACGAGGACATTTGAATATCTTTGAGTTTAATATGATTATTCCAATCTTTTCACATTTTTTTTTTCACATGATTTATTGCATCATATTATAGTCTTCTACAATTACTTTATCCATTTCAATCATTTTTTAGTCTTGTATAAATGTGTATAAATACTTTTGCCCCTTTTCATAAAAAAAAACTTTTAGTTATCATAAACAAAATGTTTTATTGAATTGTTTAAGTATAATTTCTTTCGTTCTGTATAATTTTCATCCAAAATTTTGACAGTATTCACGTATTTCTATAATCATAAAAAGATAGACGAATATGTTAGCTTTAAAAAATGAAGATTTTCTTCACGTTCTCAAAAGATACGATATTTCTTTTCATTTAAGTTATTTTGCAATATACCGGATTATTCGCAAATGCCAGATATTTTAATAAATATCATAATTCAAATCAATTTAATGAAATCGAAGAAAGCGATATGCATCGTTCACCGTTATAACGTTTTTCTCGAACGGTCGAAAAGGCCAGCAAAAAAGATGCTATAACGTACTTCTTCCAAATTTATACGATCGAGAAAGTGCTCACGCAGGATTCGTGCTTTATCGCGAGTAATAACATTTGTTTCAGTAATAGACGTGCCGGCACAAAATAAAAATTTTTATTGTTGCGCGGATCGTTCAACCGATCGCTCTTTCTCCCTTTTCCTCTTTCCGATCCTTCTAAAATAATACATACGCGACGCGAAAAAATTGAAAAATAACGCGAGGAAAGAGGAAATGTCGGTGTTTCTGTAAATCGCGCGCCGTGTACCGCGATGATTCCTTGACTCTGACGACACTAATTATATGAGTCTCGATGGATACTGGCGTTGCTTCCGTTAATTAATTTGCGTGCGTCTGTACGTCTCTTTCGCATCCCTGTATAATTAATTAACGTAACCGTAGGCTTACGAACAAAACGAAGACGAGAAGTCGTTATAGCTGTATTCCAAACGGTAGATGCGGCCGCTTCCTTTCCTTCTTCTTTAACGTTTGACATGACGCGCTCGAAAATTACACGCGTAAAACTCAAATCGAGTCTGTTTTATTGCAATCAATATTGCTGAATATTTATTTTAAATGATAAATGTTAACAATTGAGAATTTATTTACAATAATTTCGTAATTTCATGCGCGATGTATTTACAATTGATAACGTTTATCATTACAATATATTTACCGTTATATAATCTTGCATTTACTTACCGTGCTAAAAAATATCCAAACGCGGATTCTGCATCCGATACACCGAGGATAAAGTTTTGTGGCGCATATCGATATACACCGTATGATTATATAATTCCGCTACGACAGGTGACATCCATTGCGGCAGGTCTCTGTCTTTAGAAAGCAAAAAACTCGCGGCGATGCATTACGTTTTACGCTTTGCGTATGCTGGTTGCGAACGAGTCCACGAGTTCGAGACGACTACCTTGGACGCGCTCGCTAACTAACTGAACATGATGTAGCCTCAAGTCAGTCACTGGCTTCAGAGTGGGGCTTATGTCGTACACATAACTACACGCTGCTGGCTGGAGCGTAACGTCAGGCTTAATATTTTCATCGCGCATCTCCATACGTAAATAACGGATATATTTAGATTTATTATATATAATATGTCACACACATAATCGTACATAAATTTTTATACATATATATGTATAAATCATTATCTCTTTTACATCTATTATAACATATTTTTATTTAAATTAATTTTTACATATACATATTTGAGTTTTATGCGTTAATATAAGCAATTATTATTTTATTGCCTAATAAATATTTAAATTTGTGTCTCAACGAGTTATACATTTTATCTGTGCTATTAATATACTATGTTATCTACATAGACTAAGCACATCTAGAAGAGATAAACATTTTAATTTTATTAATACTGATATACAACTATGTTTATAAAGTTATTTTCAAAGTTTTGGACATTTCGATTTTACATATCTATATGTACACATAATATCTATAAAATTAATTTCCAAATAATTATAACATTAATTAGTTATAATATTATTAAGCGAGTATTTCTGAAATAACTTTTATCGATAATATTTTAATGTTCTTAAGTTAAAGTCGTAAGTCAGACTTACTATTTAATTATCTAAACTACCTCTATGAATAAATTTAAATACTTATATTTGCTAGTCATGTTAATCATTACTTGGTATATGGTTATTAGAATATTTCAAGAAATGCATTTATAATATGATACAATTAAATGTGTTTTTCTAACGATTATAAAATAAGTCTGCCTTTAAGAGAAAAAATTTTAAATAGAGAAAAAGCTGAATGGCTAATTTTATATTAAAAGAGAAACTCTCATCGATTATGTAAAGAAAATGGAATATTAAGATTATTTGCTGAAGGTATAATAATTTTTTTTTGTGTCTATAAATAGTATACATTATTTTATTATAATAACAAATTTATTCTTACTTTGTCATCGAAGTAATGATGGTTTTACTGTAAAATGTGTTTGTTAAGACTAAACTATTTTAACGAAGCGATAAATTCGCGTTTCTACGAATTCACTGTCAGTTGGATTTTTCTATTTTATTAAAAGAACAAATTTTACTTATTTCGATATATGTAATATCGAATAATTAATTATGATAGTGATTAAATATATAATGTAAAAGTAAGTTTTGCTCTCTCTCTCTCTCTCTCTCTCT